AAACCCGACCCCCTCCACAAGTGGCAGCCACCCCGGGGGGGGGGGTGCAGGACCCCTGATTTCTGGAAAAAACAGAAATTGCCAGGGGATGTGCAGCGTCGGTGCGCACACCCCGGTATTTTTATTTTTATTTTTTGATTTATTTTTTGATTTTTTTTTTGATTTTTTTAGCTGTTTTTTTTTCCGGGGCCGGGTGTACCGACACCTGACCCCCGGGACCCCCGCCGGGGCCCCGGGCCCGGGGGTTGACAACCCTGGCGTGTACATGCAACGGGATCCTTACACCTATCGGAAGAGGGATGGCGGACCTTTGGGATTGCTTTGGCTTCCGGGGATGACCCCGTGCGAATGTTCGAAGGGGCACGACAAATAACCTGGCGGGAGGGGTTTGAGTTTGCAAACCCGGAACAAGATGACGTAATGGCGGAGGTAAAAGTCGCCGCGGGAGGGGTTTTCGAGTTGCCAAATGAGGTCGTACGGATGAGTCTACCACCCCTCCTGCTAAGACAAGTGGGAGGCATAGAACGAGTGGAGCAGGCGGTGACGACCGTAACTAGGCTAAATTTTGACGAAGCATTAATGTATCGAGAATATTATCAGGCCTTTCTAGAGATGGGGCCTTTCGGGGACGAACAAGTGCGCGAGGTGCTTTGTATTCTAAGAGCAGCAGTAAATGCTAGGCCAAGTGTTCCACAAATAAGTGATGAGACGATGTGGAGAGTCATCCGGCGAGAGGTAGGTCGGGGCGCGGCCTACATAGATGATCTCTACCGACTGTACGAACAGCAAGGGGAGGCTACTGCTCCCGGGGGTATAAAGGGATAGTTGGGACTAGAAAAGAGAAATGAAAACACGAAGGGCAAGGAAGACAGTAGGTGGGCGGATTCGGAAGATTGCCTGTAACCCTTTCTATGTGGACTATGCAGGAAATCACCCAGGTAACAATGGCAGCAAGACGTGAGCGAGTGGAATGCCAGCCCCGTGTGCGAATGGAATGCCAGCCCCGGTACCTCGGACCGCCGTGGAACAACGGTGGACGATGGGAAGTATCCCTCCCGTCGAGTTCTACCTATCCGGGGTTCGACGTAGAATGGCGGGCCGTGACTTTGGGAAGGGACGCCGCCTTCATGTTGGTAGAATGTCGGTGGACAGGAATGAGACTCAACCGAGGACCCGGAGATGATCTGTTCTCCAATGTGGAGGTTACCGGGACCATGTATCTGCCTAAGATCGACTGACATTCGTTGGGGGTAGAGATAGCACAAGGTCACGAGCTGGCACCGGTCTTTCAAAGGGCCGCCCGGATGTTGACCCGGATAGGACATTCGGTCAGGGGAAGAAGGAACGTGGGCTTGCTAACCCAGGCGGAGATGGGAGGTTGGAGGGAGTTCAAGGCACCAACCACACCGCTGAGGTGCCGTGTCCCCCGTTTTATGATAGATCTCGTCTTCGGGAGCCTCGCAAGGGCGCGGGAGCTGGCAGACTCGGCAATAATGTGGGCAGACCACTTTTCCTCTCTAACCATCGGGATGTTCTATGATGTCGCCATGAGGCATGGGCCGTTCTGGGGAAACAGGGCCCACGAGTTACTGGAGGTCATCCACATCCTGATATTTTGTGCGCCCTGGCTAGACCAAACAGGGCACGAACGCATAATCCAAAGGGAGATCGAGATAGGAGAGAGCTATTTGGCAGGGGTGGCTGAGCTATTCGAGGAGCCGACTGAACCGGAAGAACCACGAGGGCGCGAGTGGGACTAGGATCCGCAGGCAGGCCAATAGGGCAGATCGAGTATAGTTCGCTGCGTACGAAAATCCCCCGATGGGAATAAGAAAGGGGCCTCGGACCCGGATGGCTAAAACCCACTAGAAAAACAAAGAAGGGGGTGGACTCCTAATAGTGACCATAACCCGGAAGGTAAAAAACGGGAAATGCTGCTCGGGAAAGCTTCCCCTAGCAGGATGCCTAACCCGGACTCCCTCGTGTCGGCTGATGGGACAAGGGCACTACCAACGAGCTCGTGATAAAGGAAGCCCAATCACGTTCATAGCTCGGCTGGGCGGCAGGGCCAGTCGTGGCTCCTCCTTAAGAAAGGGCAATAAGGAAACGGGGATAGGAAAGGAAACTATAAAGAAAAGCCAACAAAGCTGGGAGCCGAGGGAACCTAAAAACCTCGCATTGTGTGTGTCTTGGGAATTCTTTGGCTTATGCAAAACTAGGCAAAATGGCAACGGAGGAGGAGACAGATAACCGTAAGAGTGAAGGAGAACCAGGCTTAGAAGGCAGTGCCGCGCAAAGCGAAGGGGGCAGAAGGACAGAGAATCGATAAATCCGGATGGTACCAAAGGGAACCGGAAGGAAATCTCCACAGGAGAAAGCTCGGGGAAAGCCGGGGGAAGCATGCAAGGGACCCAGGGGACCAAGGAAGGCAGAAATAAGGATAGGACAAACCCCCGAAACTCGGAAGGGGCCATGCCTAAGAAAGTAAGGGTCACGGACACGAGGCGCAAACTAGCCGAGATAGACAAGAGGACCGCGGAATACAAGGCAAGACTGATTGAGGAAATGATGACTGGGAACGAAGAAGGTCCTCTTCAGGAGGAACCCCGGGACGAACGGAAAGCCAGCCAAGGTGGGACTGGACAAGGGGATAAAGGTAGTGATCGTGGAGGAATGCCAAGCAAGAGAAGGAAAGAGAGAGAGAACTCTCCGGGGATGGAAGCAGAAAAGGCTACGACTCCGCCAACCATGGACAGTAGGGCTAGCCGCCTGGCGATCACGCCAGCAGTAGCGTGAGGATGCGAAGGACTTTGGAGCCTTAGGGAAAGAGTGTTGGGATGGTTTGACCCGAAAGGAACTATGAAAACCAGGAAGGGACAAAAGGTCGGCAAGGAAAGTCCGGATAACAGTGTGGCAGGCGAGGCCAACAGCTTCGAGGGCGGCCTTTAGAAGATAGTGCCGTCCCTCGGTCGAGCACTAAACAAAAATCAAGGCTATCTGACAGACGCCAAGAAAAAGCTGACTTTCGATGGAGCAAACATCACGGAGTTCCTGATACGAGAACCTAGCTGCGTTACTAAAGTGGACTGAGGAGGAAAAGATGGACCATCTAGGACACCATGTGTCGTTAAACCTAGGACGGGACATAATGGTCATTGTAGCCGCAAGCCGGTCTTGGAAGGAGACCCGGGATGTGATGATGAGGAAGTACCTAGCGGCAAAGAAAATGGCGACGGAGGCCGACCTAGCGGCAGTTCAGAGGAAGAACTTCGCAACGTACAATGATTTCCTACGGGAATTTACTCTGGTAGCACTAAGGATCCCCGGGGTCATGGACCGGATAATGAGCAAATATTTCCTCAGGCAGTTCTCCGAGCTCGACAAGGACAAGATCCTGTCAGCCTACCAATAAACGAGCAAGTTTGTAAACACACGGGATGTTGATTTTAGCACGGTAACGGATCTGGCTGAGAAAACGGTAGTAACGAAGACGTTGGCCTTGCTCAAGGAAGGAGAGATCATAAATCTGACCTGTAGGACGGGCGACAAGGTAAAGAAGGGGATTGAAAGTCTACATGAACGGGTGCACGAGGTCGACAATAAGATTGAAAGGATGGAAGGCGCGCTAATGGTTATGCAAGCGCAAGTATCCCGACTTGCCCTGCCTCCCAAGGAAGATGTGGTCCCGCCAGGTGTAGCAAACCGGGGATTCGGACGGAGAGATCCTGCTAACGAGCAATGCAAGTACTGCACCGCGATAGGACATTATGTGCGTGCATGCCCAAAGCTCAACCATGATATTATGAAAAGACGGTGTACCAGGTCGTTAAAGGGGGAGATATTTGGACCACAAGGAGAACGGGTGAACTGGAACTCACTAGGAGGGATGCGGCGAACCATTATCATGCTCAACGGTCTAGAAATGACAGTCGTAGAAGCCGAACCGGTAGGCGAGATCATCTGTGATCAGCTCCGGGGGCGCGGGCCGCAGGCCAACTTTATTTTGGAAAGCGACGGACGTGATAGGGTGAACCCAACCACTTGACTGGGAACGACCGGGAGAAGGATTAACCGTGACACCATTATGGAGGAGGTCGCTGGAAGCTCCGAACCCCAGGCAGAGCTTGAGGTCGAGGAACCAGAGAAAGTCTATGGGAAGCCTAGGAAAGAGGAGCCTGCGGACAAGGCTACCGCCGCCAAGAAGAAGTTTAGGTATCAAATCCTGATCTTGACCTTGCCTGAGCTCGACGACACTATTAGCAAGTTACTAGGAACCATGGTGTCGGTGTCTTTTCAGACCATGCTGCAGGCTAGCCCTAGGTTGCTCAAGGGGCTCAGACAACTGTTGACTCGGAGGCGAGTAGAAATAGGCGACAACCCCAAATTACCAGAAGGGGAGAGGGAGGAGGAAGCTCTGCAAGAAGTGGCTATTCTTCAAAGGAGTCACGGGGACTTGGAGGATCTCGAAAAGGCCTTTGCAGACATTCGGTTGAGCTTGCCCGACCGAGAGGGCGGCGAAGTCATGAGATCACCACCCAGGACGAAGCTTAGCTTTCATGCGCTACCCGTAGGGAAATTGAAAATCCAGATCGGGAGTCATCACACCGACATTAGTAGACGGGGGAGAAAAAATCACTCTCATAAGGAGAGATTTTGCGACGATCACGGGATGTACGGTAGACAAGGAAGTAACAGGGAGCATCCGGGGAGCTGGCGGGGAAATCCCGTTCGCTGGGTACGTCACGAAGTGTGCTGTGAAGGCAGGGGTCAGGGAATTGATTTGGTCGTTTCAGCGGATGACCGTAATGGAGGAAATGGACCACGACATAATTATCGGGAGACCGTGGTGCGCGAACGTAGAGATGATAGGCATGCACTTGCACGATGGCTCGTACATGGTAGACATAGAGGACCTTGTAACCGGTCGGGGAGAGCTCCTCCGACTCCTTGGAACGGGAGGAGACCCCCCAAAGGAAAAATTGGCAACATGGTCGCCGTCGTTCGAGGATAGCACGCCAAAAGAGGCTTTCGCACGGATGGAGGGTATGATAGAAAGGGTAGAAATCATGATTGAGGAAGCATTCAACAAGAAGGAATGGATCAAGATGGGCTTGCCCCAGAAGAAGAGGAGGCAGGAGGACGAAGTCCTAGATATTATGGTCGCGGAAAATGAGTCAGAGGTCGAACTTGGTGCTAGCCCGCCCAAACGGAAAGAAGTAAGCATAGACGTGCCGGAAATCACACTCCCCCGATTTATTGCAACTCATCAAGGCCCTCAGATACCATAAGGTAGGAGTGGATTCGGCAGTCTTGGCCAAGTTCGAAAGAGAGGTGCAAAAGGGATATAGCCTGAATGGGAAACTAGTTAGTATTCAACCACGAGTCGTAGAGGCGACGGGGGCAATTCCGACTGTTCATTTTTTAGGAGAAAGATCCCGGAAGGAAGTGTTCGAAAGTACAAGCCGGTAGGGAAGAAAGCAAAACCGGTCTCGATCCTGCTAGAGACGTCAAAGGAAGAGGCTATGGAGAAGGAGGAAGAGGTCCTTCGAGTGATCCGAGAAAGAAGGGCGACGAAGGGACATCGGATACCAGATGAGGTAGCGGACACAATGAAGATAGGGATAGACGGGTTCCTAACGGAGGAAGAAACCCGCTTGATCAAAAGAACCTGCCAGGAGTTTCACCTGACATTTGCCTTTAGTGATCACCAGAAGCGACGACTGGATGCAAAGTTGATCCCTCCGTTCAGAATCCACACGGTAGAACATGAGTGCTGGAATGATAAGGGGCCATCTTATGAATTAGGGATAGCAGGAGAAGTAACAGATCTCCTCCGAGCGAAGATGGATTCCTTCGTTGCGGAGCCTACGACATCGTCATACGCAAATCGGTCGTTCGTCTTTCGGAAGCCTAACAAGACACTAAGGTGGATTCAGGACCTGCAGAAGTTGAATGCGGTAACCATCCGGGATGCTGACTCGCTACCTGAGACTGACTTATTAGCAGAATCGCACGCTGGTCGGAGCATTGACTCCCTGATAGATCTGTAATCAGGGTACGACCAACTTCCATTGGATGTTCGGGACAAGCCATACACCGCTATGCACACCCCCGTAGGCCAGCTACAGATGCAAGTGACACCTATGGGATTCACAAACGCGGTGGCCGAGGCGCAATGCAGGATGCTCGCTGTGGTTGGGGACATGTTCCCAGAAAAATGTGAACCTTACATCGATGACAATCCGATCAAAGGCGCTCAAGAGAAGGATGAGACGGAAGTCCAGCCAGGGATCCGACGTTTTGTGTGGGACCACCTGCAAGACATCAAGAATCTACTTCGACGGTTCCTAGTATACAACATTACGGCTAGTGGACCGAAGCGTATCCTAGCAGTACCAGAGGTAACTATCCTAGGATTTTGTTGCGGTGCTTACGACAGGAAGCCGGATCCGGCAAAAACCGACAAGATATCACAATGGCCGACACTGTTGCGCACGACAACGGAGGTAAGGACATTCCTAGGCGTAGTCGGCTTTTGGAGGATCTTCATTAAGAACTTTGCCAAGATTGCTGAGCCTGTCCGGCTACGATCAGGGAAGAAGGAACCATGGATTGGACGGAGGAGCGAGAAGGAGCTGTCCAAAGGCTCAAGGACATATTGACATCTGAGACAGTCGCCCTGTCCGCGCCTTGTTTTAATGACGACGTGGGACGACCCTTCATCCTAGAGACGGATGGAGGACCTTTGGTCGTAGGAGGTGTGTTGATTCAAGGGAATGAGGGAGGAAAAGAGAGGCCGATTAGGTTCGAAAGTAGAACCCTGAACTCCGCAGAACGGCGGTACTCGCAATTCAAGAACGAAGTCATAGCCATCCTGCATTGCCTTAAGACCTTCCAGGCTTACCTATTTGGGAGGCGGTTCATCTTAAGGATCGATCCGACGAATGTCGCAGGGGCTCTGAAGAATTATAGGCCTATAGATCCGATGGTAGGGAGATGGGTAGGATTCATCTGGCAATTTGATTACAAGATCGAACGGATTGCTGGAATCCGCAACAAGGCAGATGGACTGAGTCGGGTTTGCATCACTCCCGAAGGGATGGAGGATGTAGAGCCCATAGACGCATTCCTCGAATACGAAGGAAGGACTCTCGCGGTGGACAACGAAATGATGAGCGGGGGATGCACATCGGGAGAACTATTGATCCAGACTTTGGAGAAGGGGGCACCTGCCGTAGTAGCATAACTTAAAGAAGGACCAGTTACCACTCGATAACGCAGATAAGAAAAGGACTCGTGGGGAGCGATAGTAGGACTGAGAGAGGAACTAATGGCAATGGCGGTCGAGGGAGGCCGGAAAGCAGTAATGAGCTTAGTGGAATCTTGGGAAAGGAAAGAGTTGCGATGGGTGGTAAACCAGATGCGGGAAGGAAAGGATGGGAGCCAGGAAAGGGAGGAGTTTTTCTATGTCCAATCATACGAAGGGCTCTTTCGGGAGATCGGGTTGTTGTTGGTAGGAAACAAACAACCTACGAAAGTCAGTATTAAAGCAAGAGAAGAAGCCGAAAGGTACGTCCTAAGGGGAGGGCATTTGTTCCGAAGGGAGGAAGGTGCTATGCCCAGAAGGCTTGTGTGCGGAAAATCTAGGCAAGTAGACGTTATCCAGGCAATGCACGACGGGTTAGCTGGAGGTCATCGGTCGTCCAAAGGAACACTTGCAAAGATAACGCCGCTATATTATTGGCCATGCATGGCAGACATAGTCGCCATATACTGCCAGACTTGCCTTATTTGCCAAGAACGAAGCTCGGTACGAGTCTTCGAGCCGCTTAGACCAACGCGGGTGCTAGGGCCGGGACATCTGGTCCACCTCGACCTTGCGGTCATGCCTGTATCAACGGATGGGTACAGGTATATCCTGGATGCGCGAGACAACCTGAGTGGGTTCGTAGAGGCAGTCGCCCTCAAGAAAAAGACAGGGAGGAGTGTGGCGGACTGGATAGAAGACTTCTACTTAAGACATCCGTTCGTAAGGAGGTTTATAGCAGACAATGGGACGGAGTTTGTGAACCAGGAAGTATTGAGGATGCTTAAGAGACTCTGCGTTCCGTTCAAACTCATCGAGTCGTATCACCCTGAGGCCAATGCACCGGTGGAAAGGGGGCACCGAACCTTGAAGAACACGATTGTAAAGCTCGCAGCAGACCATCTGGGGAACTGGCCTAGGTATCTTAAGCAGGCCGTCTTTGCAGAGAATACGACTCCTAAAAGGACAACAGGATGTATCCCGGCAGAGCTTTGGTACGGAAGAGAGATCGACTTTCCTGTGGAAGCCTTCGTACCTATTCGGAATAAGTTAGATGATGATCCACAAATGACCACTGAAGAATTAATCGAGGCAATATGTCAACAAATCCTTAAGAATGAGGAGGTCGTGGAAGACATCGCCAGCCGGGTGCTGGACAGCAGAATAAGGGATAAAGCAAGGTGGGACCAGGTTAAGAATGTCAGAAAGGAACCACTTCAGGTGGGGGAGATGGTATTGCTAAGGAACTCGGCACTAGAAAGTACTTGGTCGGGACAGTTGGGAAGGAGGTTCAAAGGCCCCTAYCGGGTYGCCAAGCGGGTGGGACTGAACACCTTCGAACTGGAAGATTTGGATGRAACTGGATTGAAAGGGCCCTTCCCGGGGCAACGACTGGTCAGGTTTCTAAGTSGGGACCMWGTGRAACAATGGCTTYAGGAGGCCGAAGATAARGAAACAGAGGAGCCACAAGCTAAAGACTAACCACAGCCTTGCCCACACTATGGTTTGTCTCTGACCATGTTCGTGGGACTGTCATTTTTTTGGGACTGGTGCTCTGGCTTGGACTGACTGAGGTTGAAAGGTAGCATGACTTGGGGGTTTGCAATATCTGGCTTGTGTGACAACGGGAAGGGATGTTTGGGGCATTGTACCGTAGTTTTTGACGGGAAAAATATGGGGTCATCACAAACGACGCATTCGCATGTATAAAAAGGGTGTGATGCGAGGGATACTGGGTGCATTTTGGGAATGTCTACCGGCCTAAGGGGGGGGGAGGTGTAAGTGTATGAGGGACCTTGCGGGTGTTGTTTTGTTATACAGGGCTTAGGAGTAAAACGAGAAAAGACAAAAATGGAATTCGGCAATGAGAACGACAGCGGGGCAATCAACAGGCCTACCGGAGGGGAATAAGCTGGACCAAGCCAAGGGAGGAGGACAGCGAAAAAAAAATTGTACATTGGGCTCATGGGCGGGCCAGTGGTAGGCAGGGGTGGAAGAAAATGTTTGTGTAGGAAACCCTCACCCCTCTGCAAGGGAGAAGGTATAGAAATATCATCTGACAGTGAGGGCGAAAAGGGAAGGGCAAATGTGGAAGAAGGAGGCAAGACAGAAATGTGAGATAAGGCTCGGGTCTCTAACGAAGAAGGGGCCAATAGGGGCAAACGACGTGAGACTTGGCATGGGGAAAGCGAGGGGGGACAAGGTATGCGTGACGAACGTGAGGAGGACGAGGAGAAAAGGGAGAGCCCGCTTGAAGGACGAAGCGGTCATGGCTGTTGCGAGGGGTATGGGACGGGGACAAAAATCCCTTTTACCTACGATCCAAAGAACCTTGCTGGTGGGTATAGCCCCATACAGACTGAAGACGAGGGGGACGAGGAGGAGGATGTGCGAGAAGTCATAGAAATCAGCAGCGGGGATGAGAGGGATGAGATCTCAAGGCTTAGGGAAGAGGGGTGGCCTCCGATGCACCAGCCGGGCGACGGGGCTTTCAGGTGGGAGGACGAGTTCGGGCCCACGTCCAGTCATTGGTTTCAGCAATGGACCAATGTAATCAGGCACGAATGGATTATCAAGACTCGGGAACTCGCACGGGCAGGGGTAAAAGCCACAGCACTGGATTTTTTTAACGAGGTAGAGTTGCATAAAATTGTAAGGATGAAAAGAGAGATCGAGACCTACGGCCTGGGGGTTAAGAAGTCTGCCAAGGAACGGGGTGGACAAGGAACTGGGCAAGACGAGGCGCAAGGCAGCAATAGGAACTAGGTGTTGACCTAGCATTGAAAGGGATCGCTGCTTTTCTGTCTGCAGAGACATGAGAATGACGAGAACGTGTATAATATGGGCAAGCTTGCTAAGAAGAAAGTGAAAAGAGGACCAACTAAGACTGTGTCACGCTAAAGTAGAAGATAGTTTTTGAGGCTACTTTTTGGATGAGCTACCTTGGGTACCTAAGACAAAGACATGGGCTTTGAGATGAGACCAATTGGGAGAGGGTGTATTGTGAAATTTGGATGGAACAAGGATTATGCTTTTGAGAGGGGAAAACCTTGAGTACGGATTGACGAGCAAACCATGACATTGAATGATTGGTCGAGTACAAGAGAGGTTAGGGAACCTATGGGTTAAAGGGCGTGAAGAACACTCCTTCCCTAGGAGCCTAATCCAACTGAGTCGTGAATGAGACTGAGAATAGCCGAGACCTGAGAGATCAGGAAGAGTGAAGATGGAAGGGGCGCTTTTGTCGTTTGTTATGGATGGACGGTCGGGTGGGCTAGTGCTGCTTGGGGTCGCGAGCCCCAACTCGAGTGCTAGACGCTAAGTCGGATGTACGAATGGATGATACATTACCGTGAGAAATGGAATGGATGGTATATTACTGTGAGAAATGGAATGGATGGTACATTACTGGGAGAAATGGAATGGATGGTACATTACTATGAAAAATGGAAGAGAGAGAACAACACGCAAAAAATGAGATGACCACCTTCTAACCTCCAAGACAGAAATGAGATCCGTAACCTCGAGGCCCACCCCCTCGGGCAATAACATTGAGAATGAAAAGGAATGACCCTAACCAAGCTGTTCGACTTGAGAATGAAAACAAATGGCCCTAACCAGACTGTTCGACTTGAGAATGGAAAGAAATGGCCCTAACCAGGCTGTTCGACTTGAGAATGGAAAAAAATGACCCTAACCAGGCTGTTCAACTTAAGAATGGATAAGAACGACCGTAACCAGGTTGTTCGGAAATGGCCCCTGACAAGGGTCATTCCTTTTGAAATAGGCACTGGGGTCCCCTGCATATTGGATTGAGAAAGGTTGATTGAGAAAGGTTGATTGAAAATGAGCTGGAATGAGAGAAATGGAAAAGGCCGGTGGATCGGTCATTGAAATAGCCACTGGGATGAATTAGAGAGATGGAAAAGGCCGGTGGGTCGGTCATTGAAATAGCCAATGGGATGAATGAGAGAGATGGAAAAGGCCGGTGGGTCGGTCATTGAAATAGCCAATGGGATGAATGAGAGAGATGGAAAAAGCCGGTGGGTCGGTCGTTGAAATAGCCAATGGGATGAATGAGAGAGATGAAAAAGGCCGGTCGGTCGGTCATTGAAATAGCCAAAGGATGAATAAGGGAGATGGGAAAGGCCGGTGGGTCGGACATTGAAATAGCCAATGGGATGAGAGAAATGGGAAAGGCCGGTGGGTCGGTCATTGAAAATAGTCAAAGGATGAATGAGAAAGGTGGAAAAGGCCGGTGGGTCGGTCGTTGAAATAGCCAATGAGTTGAATGGAGGAAATGGAAAAGGCCGGTGGGTCGGCCACTGAAAATTGCCAAGGGGGCGGAAAAAAAATGCGAATGAGAAGGACAAGATAAAAAAGGTGGAGCCTTAAAGCCGAGAAGGGAAGGGACCGATGAGACGGTCACAAAAATTGGGTGTTGAGGAATGAGAAAATTGAGGATTGAGTGGGCGGAAGAGTCAGTCTTGAGAAATGGCTATTGAGAGAATGACCGCCAGACCGGCCGTGGGGGTGACCTTGTTGATAAGAGGCTGTCAGACCAGCCATGAGAATCAGCCTTGGAAATAGCATTGGATTGAATGATTGAGGATCGAATATTGCATTGCATAGGCAGGAGACCCTAAGCAACTTGAAATGGACTTGGAAATAGCATTGAAGTGAATTTATCTTTTTCTAGTCTTTGGCCTCAGCAGGAGGGGGATACCGGTGCTCGCACCGCGACCCTAAGACCTCTATCCCTGTAAGGGAAAAAGTCTCAGCGCGACCTGTTCCTTTTGTAAGGGGATGAGGGTTGAAAGACCAAGGCACCTACCACTTGGATCAGTGCAGGACGTCCGGAACTGACCCGACAACGAACTCTAGTCGGGAAGTTCAAATTGCGCCTCGTGTTGAACGCCTAAATGTCAAAGGGTGAGGGAACCAAATGGGCGAGAGAGCCAATCTTTTTTTCTAGTCTCTTTTGTTCTCCCCAACCACACGCCATGTCCTTAAGGGGCGGCATGGACGCTTGGAATGGACCACGGTGGCTCGCGTTAAGTTGAGCAGCACTGTCCAGAAGGGAAGAGTTGGGCGTGGTACCGGGTGAAAGCCGCAACCACCACGGGGCGAGTGACACCGCCCCACCGGAGCATTACAACCGCTTCGGGACTAATTACGAGGTCTTCGTAACTGCAGAGCCCCAACTCTCTTGAAATGAAGAGGCCGGATCCAA